TCAGTCACAAATGTAGTGGAGTAAAGAGTACATATATTCAGTCACAAATGTAGTGGAGTAGAGAGTAAAAGTTGCTTATATTTTTGATACTCAGTACAAGTACAAAGTAGCCAAAAAAATACTTAAGTACAGTAACGAAGTCCATTTACTCAAGTACTTTACACCACTGGATGTGAATGATGGCTATCCCATGTGATACAAACTAACAAAAGGGCTGCTGTTGTACAAATGGCATATAATTTTTATTATTATCACAGGAGAAATCTGTCATGAAACAGAGGGCATATAGGACTACATAGCTGCAGGAGTATTAGAGTGCCTATGGTGACCCCTATCCACAATTCAAAATGCCTACAATGAGAAAGCAAGAATCAGGACTGGACTTTGAAGCAATGGAAGAGGATCGCCTGGTCCAATGAATCCTGTTTTCTGTTGCATCATAGGGATGGCCAGGTAAATGTCAAGCATCTATGAGTTGCATTAAAGTGACAAGTCTGATCCATGGCTACGTAGCTCGGAGCACTTTACGTTGTGACCTTTGCCAAAGTCACTCAGATCACTTGTGTATACACTGATGCATATGTGCATATATATCCTCTTTGAGCAACCATTTGCGAAAACCACAGCAATATATTCATTTTTTGACCAATATTTTCTATTTACGACCAAATTTTATATGTGTGATATGAACATGCACCAGAGTGAGAGAGATCTTTGCGGTAGAATGTACAAAATGTCATAAAAAATGTTCAATTCATGTTGGATAAGATTAATTGTGTGTGTGTGTGTGTGCGTGTGTGTGTGTGAGAGAGAGAGAGAGAGAGAAAATGTGGTGGCTACTGACCAAAATTTTTAGTGACACAAACTATAGACTGACCCCCTGTATAATTTCAGACCTGATCATAGTATTATGATAAACAGTACAGGCAGTCCCCAGGTTACAAATGGGATCCGTTTTCCAAGTCTGTCTTTAAGTCGAATTTGTAAGTCGGTACATACAATTATACATACAATTATAAGTCAGTACATATTAATTATATAGTAATAAAAAGTGGGCTCAGTGGGCTAAGCCTGTGTGCCTGCAATCACGTGGTCGCCGATTCAAATGCAGCGTATTTAGAACGTGAATAGCGATCTTCAGCTGAGAGCGGTCCTACACGCTCCTGATACAAAGAAAGGTGACACGATTTGCTTTTTTGCCTATTTAACCTAATTTTAAAAACTTTAATACTTCTGACAATGGAAGTTTTGAAAAGAAGACAGATAACGGATTTAGTCAGTGTTTTTTTCATGATTCTACATAATGATTTCAGCGAGATATAAACTGAAATACACGAGAAAGATACGCGGTCGATGATGCCCTCGTCCCCAGAGCGTCAATTCTAGTCACTGCATCATATTTATCGCTTTCTATATTTATATAGTCACAGTTTTTCATTTTTCATTCCATCTATCAATAAACTGTGAAAGGGATT